GACCATAAAATAAGTCAGGATGGGCTTCCCTGAGGTCTCCAAGGAATGGCTAGAGTAATGGTCATGATCAAGATCAAGAAAAGAACCAGAGAAAAGAACACAGAGGGTTTGGTCAATGGGACAGCCAGAAAAATAGGGAGCTGTCTGGAGCAGACCTGCAGCCTCATCAGGTTTGGGTGTGAGTTCAAGTGAAACTGTCACCTGAGCTTAACCATGGTTCCAACTCTTGTGGGGAGGGGGAATCACAATGATCAAGCTCAGAACAATTTCTCTTTGATCTCTCAACACACGAGTCATAACTCTTTAGGCTTTGGGTTTCTATTATTTCCTCAGGATGCAACCTGACCATTAAGAGGAAGAATAATATTATCACAGTTTATAATAATGGAGGGGTGAAAAATTTCCCCTGAGAATTTGTAATTACATGACTTTCTTCATTTAGATTTCTAACTTCTAACTGTACAGACTGGGTAGATCAGAAAATCTTCTTAGACCCACTCAGTGCCCTCCAGTTCTCCTTTATCTGTGGGAAGAGTCTCCTTCCCTGCTTCTTTGCCTCTTTCAAATGCTATGTGATAGTAAGAAGAAATGGGCTGGGACAGTCTACAAATTAAAATCTCAAAATACACGTGCCATCTATGTATGTATTTTTGTCTTTTTATTTTCCCTTTGTCCTTTATTATTGGATGCTTATTAAGTGCCAAACACTATGCTGGTGCCTGTCAATACATCACCATTTATTTCTCAAGAATATGCTATGACAAGTTAAACTTCTGGCGATATAATGGGCTAGGTGCCCTGACTGAAAATACACTGAAAAGCTAAGTTATGGACTTCAAAATCTTCTTAAAGGCGTCAGTGAATTGGCATGAAAGTGTGAAATGCTAAAATTAAAGACTAGGTAGGACTCAGGAGGTAAGGGAAGTACTGAAGCCAACTTTTGCCAAACCCAAAGGACTTACACTTCGAGTATTACAGCCTCAGCTGGATCAGCCCAAGGTCAGGGGTGGGGAGGAATCACATAAATCTACAGCTTTCAGTGAGAATGTAAACTAAAAATAAACCTACTCCTTCTCTAAGGAAATATAAGCAAAATTACCTGTCTCTAAATTTGGTGCGAAAGGAGCGTACGGGAAAATATCCCTTGAGAAATAAATTGTAACCACAACAACCAACAATACCTTACTTACACGGTTTGTAGCCATAAAACGTGCAATCTAGGTAATTCAAAAGACTGCAATCCTATAGTTTAATTTAAAATAATCCTCAAATTATACAGCATATATAGGTATTGAAATATTAAATTGTACCCTTTAAGTATATACAGTAACAATGAGTTAGTTAAAATTTTTTTAATTAAAAATATAATAATAAATAAAATAATCCTCAAAGGGTAATGTCTCCATATGCCCGGAAAAAACATGTAAATTCTCTGTGAAAGATCACACCTTAATCTGTAATGCCGGAATTTGGGGAGGCCGAGGCAGTAAGATTGCCTGAGCCCAGGAGGTTGAGGCCGCAGTGAGCTACGCCAGTGCCAGTGCAGCCTTGACCTCGACAGATAACGTTCTGAAAAATAAGTTTATAGTCATGATTCTCAAAGCACAAGTGAAAACAGACACCGTGAGTGAAAACCCACAAGGGGAAAAACAAAAGCAAACAACTGGACAGCAGTATCAGATCCACAAAGATTTTAGGTATTGAAATTATTAAATACAGGTTATAGGGTAATTAGGTTTAAACATGTGTCATGGCTTTATTTTTAATTTTGTTTAATTCTTACCTTTTGTGGTACATAGTAGGTATGTATATGGGGTACATGAGATGTTTTGATACAGGTATGCTGTGTCAAATAAGCACATCATGGAGAATGAGGTATCCATCCCCTCAAGCACTTCTCCTTTGAGTTACAAAAAATCCAATTAAACTCTTTATGTTATTTTAATATATACAATTAAGTTGTTACCCTGTTGTGCTATGAAGGGTAGGTCTTATTCATTCTAATTCATTCATGTTTTAAAAAAATTTAATTCATTTAATTAATTTATTCATTATCTATCTCTACCTCCCCCAACACTCCCACTACTCTTCCCAGCCTCTGGTAACCATCCTTCTAGTCTCTATGTTCGTGAGTTCAATTGTTTTGATTTTTATATCCTGCAAATAAATGAGAACATGCAATGTTTCCCTTTCTGTCTGGCTTATTTCACTTAACATAATAATCTCTATTTCCATCCATGTGGTTGTAAATGACTGGATCTCATTACTTCTTTATGGCTGAATGGTGCTCCACTGTGTATACGTACCACGTTTTCTTTTTTCTTTTCATTACTTTTCGGTTTTTTTGAGATGGAGTCTCTGTTGCCCAAGCTGGAGTGCAGTGGCACAGTCTTGGATCACTGCAAACTGCCTCAGCCTCCCGAGTAGCTGGGATTACAGGTGCCTGCCACCACACCTGGCTAATTTTTGTATATTTAGTATAGACGGGGTTTCACCATGTTGGTCAGTCTCGTCTTGAACTCCTGACCTCGTGATCCGCCCACCTCAGCCTCCCAAAGTGCTGGAATTACAGGCATGAGCCACCATGCCCAGCCTGTACTGTTTTTTTTTTTTCTATTCATTCACCCATTAACAGACACTTAATGGAGGGTTCCAAATCTTACCTATTGCAAACAGTGCTGCAGCAAACATAGGAGTGAGGATATCTCTTTGATATAATGAATTCCTTTCTTCTGGGTACATACCCAGTAGTGAGATTGCTGGATCATGTCATGGCTTTATGGTTGTCTGCTAATACCCACTCTTCATCTTTCGAAACAGAACTCTCAAGTGTCAGCTGAGCACACATGGACCCAGCTAGAGACAGTCTTTCTCAGTTTCTCTTGCAGCTTAATGTAGCTTTGTGACTGTGTTCAGGCTGAGGGTGTGTAAGCAGACAACAGCAATCTTTCATGAAGTTTAAAAACAAGATAGAATTAAAATACTTGATGATATTAGAGTATGACTTGGGAGATGGGTAATAAGAATAAAAATGTTCTGAGGTCTTTGCATTATTTTGACAGCGAGTAAAGATATTAATTACATTGGGCTCTGATAAGTATGCTTGCTACAATTTCCAGATATCCTCTAAAAGGTGAAATTTGGACCTGAATCTAGGATCTCTGTTTCTAAATAATTCTGGAGGAAGAAAATTCTTAGAGTGCCATTGGCTTTTCAGCTACAGAGGAGGACTGCCAGGAGTCCGGGACCCAACCTGTCACTGAGCGTTCCTGCACACCTGAGCCTCTGGAACTTCCTGTCACGCCACTGGGCAAACTCACTTCTGAGCCTTTCCCAGGACAACCCTGACGCTTTCTGCTTCTCCGTTTCACTCATTCAGAGCTCCTCCATGTCTTCAGCCACCTCCTGTTCACCAGCTTCCTTCCAACAGAACTTGTCTGTCAGGAAAGCGTGTTCGCCTACAAATAAACTGAGAGATTGCGTCTTCCAGGAAGCTTTTTGTCATTAATGGGAGAAAATGGAGACAACTCATGTTGGTCATTGCTATCTTTGGGATGGGTGTTAGGCCCTGCCAAGTCTCATGTTTAAATTTGATCCCCAATTTTGAAGGTGGAGCCTGGTGGGAGGAGGTTGGGTGGTTGAAACCGATCCCTCATGAACAACTCCGTGCCATTCTCAAACCAGTGATTTCTCATTCTTAGTTCCCACAAGAACTGGTTGTTGAAAAGATCCTGTCACCGCCTCTATTCCTTCTCTCCAGCTTCCTCTCTCTCTTGCTGTATGATCTGTACAAATCAGCTCCCCTTCTCCTTCCGCCATGAGTAGAAGCTTTTTGAAACCCTCATAAGCGCAGATGTTGGTGCCATGCTTCTCATACAGCCTACAGAACCGTGAGCCAAACAAACGTCTTTTCTCTATGTCACCCAAAGTCAGGGATTCCTTTATAGCAACACCAATGGACTAAGGCAGAAAATACAGATGGTACATGGGAACCCCATCAGCCTGGTCACAAGATGCCATCTCAGATCACCCCAAACCCTCTGCTCATTTGAGTCTCTTCACTCATGCTCATTTGGCTGATACGTGACGATATGTCCTTTCTGCTGGCCATAACCAAGTGTCCAGACCAAACTCAAGGCTCCTATGGGAATTGGACTGTTGATCCCCCTGCTTCAGACTTATGTCCTGTTATGGCACTGTGCCTCTCCCTGCAGTGTGTACTCTCCTGAGAGATGCTTCCTTGGAACTGATGTGAAGGCACATCAGAAGGATCTCAGGGTGGAAAGACTTCTATAGAGCCTCTCAAGACAAAACAAAACAGAGGGAAACTCCTATGGTTGAGGGTCAGAAGGAGACCCTACCCTCCTACACCTGCTATGAATCTGACAAAAAACATGTTCAATACTCTCCCACACCCTCAGTTCCCATGCCTCCAAAAATGTTTTCATTATTTCATTATGTCTTCTGGATCTCTATTCCCCTGTTCCTTCAATATGCATTGTTGAGTGCCTACTGCATACTTAGCAACACTCCATTTGTCTTCTGCTCATGATCCAGGAACCCAGATTCCTAGTTGCTGGTCTCTTTTGGGTCGCCTATGATTGCCTGCTGCAGAGATGTGATGTCCCACCCTCTTGGCTCAGCTCATTAGGGCTTCTTTCATGTTAAAGCAGGCTCACAGGACTTCCTGACCAGAAAACAAATTCTTGAGCTGGAACAGGTTTCTGACCCGATCCTTGCTTCAAAGGGTGGGTCCCTTCCACTCTAACAGCCTTGATCTCCTTATCCCATTCTACTTCCTGTTGCAACCCGGCCCAGCACCCTGCCTAGTGTGATCATGTCATTCTCCCTTCTCACCTTCCTCTTGACCCCTGCTGTATTTCTTCCCAGGCTTGGTATCATTCTGTCACCTGCCTGTAATTGGCAGACTGTCAGGTCAGCTGCCCCACCTCTCCCCAGGTCATATGAAGCTATAAAGGCCTCTGCAGCCCTTTCACAAGAGAGAAAGAGGCAACTACATTGCCTGGAGGAAGCCTAAGGAAGCCAGGCACCCAGCTGCCCACTGCCCAAGCCCAAGGTTCTTCCCAGGAAGACAAACATAGGAGACCCACATTCCTGGAAGCATCAGCCTTTATCTTTTCACCTTGAAGACCCCTTTCTCAAGAATCCTCTGCTCTTTGTGCTCTAAAGCCTTGGCACATCTAGGATCCAGGCATCTTGCTTTATAGCCACAAAGAGACAGATGAAGATGCAGAAAAAAAGGAATGTTCTCCTTACATTTTGGCTACTATTGCTTTTAGAAGCCGGTGAGTTATTTTATTTAAAAGCGGGTGGTCTGAGAACTTTTGAGGAGTTGGAGGAGATGTGACCACTATTGGGACTAGCTCTGTTTCTCTTCCATAGAGTGAGGATCATCATTTGACTGTAATCACTTCAGCCTAACAATGTATTTCTGGGGGAGGCAGTCAGACAGAGTGGTTAAAACTGGGCTCTGGTATCACATTGCCTACATCTGAATTACGGCTCCATCTATTAACTGTGTGCTTTGGGTCAGTTGCTTCTCTGTGCCTCAATTTCTGCATCTTTAAAATGGTAACAACCTGTGTGATATGGCTGGGGTTTTAAATATTAAGAACAAGAGTTGGCTGCTTTTAAAATATCACTCTCCTTGCAGGGCACAGCGTCTCACACCTGTAATCCCACCACTTTGGGAGGGTGAGGCAGGAAGATCATTAAGGTCAGAAGTTTAAGACCAGCCTGGCCAACATGGTGAAACCCTGTCTCTACTAAAAACACAAAAATTAGCTGAGCCTGTGGGCTCACCCCTGTAGTCCCAGCTACTCAGGAGGCTGAGGGAGAAGAATCATTTGAACCCAGGAGGCAGGAGGTTGCAGTGAGTTGAGATAGTGCCAATACACCCCAGCCTGGGTGACGGAGTGAGACTCTGTCTCAAAAAATAATAATAATAAAATAAGTCCAGGTGCAGTGGCTCATGCCTATAATCCCAGCACTTTGGGAGGCCAAGGCGGGCAGATGTCTTGAGGTCAGGAGTTTGAGACTGGACTGGCCAACCTGGTGAAACGCCATCTCTACTAAAAATGAAAAACTTAGCTGGGCATGGTGGCTCATGTCTGTAATCTCAGCTTCTCAGGAAGCTGAGGCACTAGAATTGCTTGATCCCGGGAGGCAGATGTTGCAGTGAGCAAACATTGCTTCACTGCACTCCAGCCTGGGTGACAGCGAGACTCCGTCTCAAAAACAAAACTAAAATAAAATAAAATATTACTCTTTTGTATTCTACAAACTCAATTTCTCTTCTACTCCTACACCTAATTCCACATCAGCCTCCCATGTACAGGCTGGGGAGGCTGAATGTCTTCATCCTTCAGGGAAATAAAGGGCAAAAACCTGAAACAACCTTAACTCCAGCCGAGCCTCCAAGAAGTTAAAAACTTTCCTCTACCTTTAGACCTTGGTGTACAGCCCTGAATCCTGGGAGCTCTTATGTATTTGAGCTACATATAACTTGTTCTTCTCCAGCCTTGGCCGTAGTAATCAAGGACCCCTGGAGCTTTCATGCATTTCGTCACCTGGTTTCTTGCTGAAGAGCAGACACCTGGGCCCCATCTCAAACTCTAATTCATTTAGACTAAGAATCTTTTTACTTAAGAATATTTTCAACATGCTCCCTTAAGTAATTCTGATGTAGGTATTTTCTGAACATCATTCTGAGAAATATTGGCTAAGAAAGAAGCAATACTACATAAGAATAAATTGATCAATATATACTAGTTTCACCTAGTCCTATAATTCTTTTACAATACTTTTTATCTGTACTGGATCTTGTATAGCAGAATGTGGAATAAGCTTACCTACCAGTAAAACCAGGTGTTGTAACTCTGGTGTTGGGGGTGCATGGGTGACTTAGCTTAGTCCCCACAAGTGCACATTCAATAGCCTGGGTTCAAGTTCCTGTTCCACTACTCACTAGCTCTGTACACTTGGGCCAGTGTCACCATTTTTAAGCCTCAATTTCTTCATTTCAGCTGATGATACTAATAGCATCTATGTTAAAGGGCTGTGGCAAGCATTAAACAGAATTATTTATGCAATGAATTTAGTCAAGCAGTAAGCAGAAAGTATATATACACAATATGTATTTGTCATTACATGATTTCTTCAGCAATAAATTCCAGTGGGACTAGTACCTCTGCCAACACTGGATTCAGTGTGACCACCACTGGGGCCAGCACAGCCACCAGCTCTGGGTCCAGTGTGACCTCCAGTGGGGCCAGCACAGCCAACTCTGACTCCAGCACAATCTCTAGAGGGACCAGCATATCCACCAACTCTGAGTCCAGTACAGCCTCCACTGGGGCCAGCACAGCCACCAACTCTGAGTCCAGCACAACCTCCAGAGAGGTCAGCACAGCCACCAACTCTGAGACCAGCACAACCACCAGTGGGGCCAGCACAGCCACCAACTCTAACTCCAGTACAACCTCCAGTGGGGCCAGCACAGCCACCAACTCTGAGTCCAGCACAACCACCAGTGGGGCCAGCACAGCCACCAACTCTGAGTCCAGCACAACCTCCAGTGGGGCCAGCGCAGCCACCAACTCTGAGACCAGCACAATCTCCAGTGGGGCCAGCGCAGCCACCAACTCTGAGACCAGCACAATCTCCAGTGGGGCCAGCACAGCCACCAACTCTGGGACCAGCACCACCTCCAGCGGGGCCAGCACAGCCACCAACTCTAATTCCAGCACAACCTCCAGTGGGGCCAGCACAGCCACCAACTCTGGGTCCAGTGTGACCTCTGGAGGCTCTGAAACATCAGCTCCGACTGAAACGCACACAACCTCTGGTAGAGTTAGCACAGGTGCTGCTACTGCAGTGAGTGAGGCGAAGCCTGCCGGGTCCCTGGTGCCGTGGGAAATCTTCCTCATCACCCTGGTCTCGGTTGTGGTGGCCGTGGGGCTCTTTGTTGGGCTTTACTTCTGTATGGTGAGTAGCTAATCTGTAGGAAAATGCCTGGGGAGGGAGCAGCAGAAGCACAATGGGTGTGAATAGAAGGGGTCTCAAGTCAGGGGTGTGTGGGGAGGAAGGGAGCTCAGGGGAGAGTTACACAGAGAAATGGCAGGTCAGTGCAGAGGAAGCTGGTGACCTGTGGGAAAGGGGGCCACAGACAGGACTGGAGGGGCTGGGAACGGTGGCTCATGCCTGTAATCTCAGCAGTTTGGGAGGCCAAGGCGGGTGGATCATGAGGTCAAGAGATCGAGACCATCCTGACCAATATGGTGAAACCCTGTCTCTACTAAAATAAAAAAATTAGCTGAGTGTGGATGGCATGCACCTGTAGTCCCAGCTACTCGGGAGGCTGAGGCAGAAGAATAGCTTGAGCCTGGGAGTCGGAGGTTGCAGTGAGCCGAGATCGCACCACTGCACTCCAGCCTGGCGATGGATTGAGACTCTGTTTCAAAAAAAAGAAGAAGAAGAAAGGACTGGAGGGAAAAGTAGTATGATTGGAAGGGGAAGAGAGTTCCAGAAGGTGTCTGTGGTGAAGGCTTGGGAAGTAGGGGTGAAATTCTGAAATTATTGACTCTTCTTTTTCTAGAGAAACAGCCTGTCCCTGAGAAACGTCTTTAACACAGCTGTATACCGCCCCCATGGCCTCAACCATGGCCTTGGCCCAGGTCCTGGAGGGAATCGCGGAGCCCCCCACAGGACCAGGTGGAGCCCTGACTGGTTCTGGAGGAGACCAGTATCCTCGATCGCCGTGGAGATGAGCGGGAGGTACAGCGGGCCCTGAGCAGCCCCCGAGGCGAGTGCAACATTCTTCAGGAAGGAGGAGACCCGGGGACCCGAGACCTGGTTTCCTTCATTCACCCCAGGAGACCCCTCCCAGCTTTGTTTGAGATCCTGGCAATCTTGAGGGAGACATTCCTTACCTCTCTTGCCTTTAGCAGACACTGGAAAGAGGATACCATATTGCTCATTTAGAAATAAATACATCTATCACACATGACAAAGAGAAGCTGCATGTGCTCCGGGGTGGATGTCTCTAGTTCAGAGACGAACTTCTCAGTTATAGGAGAAAACCTCCATGCTGGAATCCATCTGGCATTCAGAATCTCCACAGTCAAATCCAGAGACCTTATTCTTACCTGTGTGTCTGCATTTTCTTTTTTGTGAGACAGAGTCTCACTCTGTCGCCCAGGCTGGAGTGCAGTGACAGGATCTCGGTTCACTGCAACTTCCGTCTCCTGGGTTAAAGCGATTCTCCTGCCTCTACCTCCTGAGTAGCTGGGATTACAGGTGCCTGCCACTACGCCCGGCTAATTTTTGTATTTTTAGTAGAGATGGGGTTTCACCATCTTGGTCAGGCTGGTCTTAAACTCCTGACCTCATGATCCACTCACTCCAGCCTCCCAGAGTGCTGGATACAGGTGTGAGCCACCATGGCCAGCCTATGTGTCTGCATTTTCTAATCCTTTTTGCCCCAGGCAAGATCCCCGTATCTCTGAGACACCCCAGTTGGCAGGAGAATTGACTTGGGAGAGATGAGGAGGGAGGGTGGGTGCCAGGATGCCATGGGCTCATGGGAGAAGCCCATGGAACACAGTGATTAGGCTGTGGTATGTGAAGAGCCCGGAGCAGGGTGAAGTGAGGGTGGTACAACTACCTGTTCTCTCTCTCTCTCTCTCTGTGTGTGTATGTGTGTGTGTGTGTGTGTGTGTGTGCATGTGGGGGCGGCAGGGTGTATTCACTTGAAGTTGAGGTTCCCAGGGCATTTTCATGTACTCCGGGCTTGACTACCCATCACGGTGGAGGTGCCGGTGACACTCGTGTCTCTGAGAGTGCTCCCTTGGGGAGAAGAGAGACAGTGCTCCCTGGTTTCCCAAGGGAAAGACTTTCTGGCCTGTTAAGGCCAGATACTCTAGGGGGCTCTTGGCAAAGACCCTGAGATTCTCATAAATCCACTCCCAGAAGAGCTGCACATATCCCTTTCAGGAGTCCAGGTCTTGGAAGACAGAGGGGAGCTGGGACAGAGCTCTCAGCAGAGAATTAGCATCTGTTGGTGGGTTCGCCCCAACTCACAGCAGTAGAAACTGCTCCATCTTCCGCCACTTACGGGGTTTCTCCAGTGTCAGCAAACCAAAGGGTTGGATCTTACCAGTGCAGCTATAGGAAAACAGCCTGCGGCATGGCAACGGTGACACCATCTTGAAGTGAAATCACCATGATGGCCGTTTTTTTTTTAACATGGAGTCTTGGAGTGGTGCAATCATAGCTCATTGCAGCCTTCAACTCCTGGGCTCAGGCAATCCTCCTGCCTCAGCCTCCTGAGTTGGTCGTGTGCCACCATGCTTGGATAATTTTAAATTTTTTTTGTAGAGACAGGGCCTCACTTTGTTGCACAAGCTGATCTTGAACTCCTGGCCACAAGTGATCCTCCTACCTTGGCCTCCCAAATTGCTGAGATGACAGGTGTGAGCCACTGCCCCTGGCCAGATGACCAATGTTTGACTCCTGCATACCAAGGTGTTCTGCATCAAGGTCTTAAAACAATGCCTGTAGCATAATTACCCTCTCGCAAAGCTGCTAATCTAACCTCCCCAGCAGTCATAAGTTTTGGCAAGAAAGTCTGTGATGTGACCAGTTGCAGATGTTTTACCATAAAATCCTACTCTCGAAAGGTTATTTTTGGAGAGGGAGTGCGGAAATCCACCCTCTTATGGTCACCGCAGACGTCACTTCTGCTTGGAAGTCTCCATTAAATACTTCTTTGTGAGAAACTGAATTTGTCAGTCTCTTTCCTTGGTCTCTTTTCTGCCTCAGCCTGTAGGGGTAGGTTTCTGTAGACCTGCTCATGGTAGAACACTTGGCGATCCAGCCAGGAGCTGAGAAAACCAGGAGTGGGTAAGGAGAATGAAGTGTCTGTAAGGAAAGCCCAGGGTGGCAGCCACGTCTGTGTAGGGTTGGATGGCACAGGGGTTCGATACCTGTGCACCTCTGTGTGAGCACAGGGAGGCCTTGAAAATGCCAGGTGGCCTAGAGCAGTGATTCACTGAAAGCAGCTAGTGCACTGGGGTAAGGAAGGGTGGCCAGTAGCCACTGCCATGGGTGGGCTCTATCTTTCGGCAGTGAAGGTCCAGCCAGTAGCAGACGCCATAATTAAATGTCTAGAGAAGAAATCGCAACTAGAAAAGGACGTGCAGACATGTACCTCTCCACGTCTCTCCTCGCATCCAACTTAGCAAACAACATGGAACACAGAGACAAAAATTGAAGCGTTAGGATGTAGATTTGTCCACCTAGGGAGAAAGACATGGACATGACCAAAAATCAGAACCATCGTAAGTAAGCCCAATTGGGATATGAAAACTTGGAATCCCTGGGATTGTGATGAAGAGGAAGACTGAGGACACAGAAGTCACAGGTGTGGAGGGGATGGGGATCGTTGGCAAGCTCGCTCCCTCACGCAAAGGAAAGCGAAACCCAACAACTGCAGCAAAATGGGGGGCAGCTGATACAGGAGACTCACTGTCAGGGAATCTACCTCTGCGGAACTCTTAGAGATTGCAAAGACCTTTAAACAACTATCTAGGGAATCTCGAGCTGCTTGGATGGTCTGACTGTGGGACACAGGGGTTGCTAATATTTCCTAAAACATGAGAAGCAGAAAAAATGGGTAACATCACCACCCTCGCAGCCCTGCCCCAGCATCTTTGTTAAGGCAAGGCAGACACAAGGGAAGTCAGAGCTATGGACTGGATCATTCTAGCTACGGGAGAGGCTTGGCCTAATGCAGGAAACTTACCAGAAAGGACGACCTCATGGCAGTCAAAAGAAGAGGCCCCGGGGCTTCTCTAAGTATTAGAAATGAGCCTTGTCATCTATGTTTGGGTTTTTACAGGACTTAAAACAATTTTTCCTGCAGGGATCGAAACTAAATTGCTATAGGGTGCACCAGGAGAATGTCACGGCCACTTGCTGACTTTATTGAGTCCTACAAATGGGACAAGATTGTATACGACGTGGGAAGACTGGGCACTGTGGCTCACACCTGTGATTTGGGAGACCGAGGCAGGCAGATCAGTTGAGGTGAGGAGTTCGAGACCAGCCTGGACAACATGATGAAACCCCATCTCTACTAAAAATACAAAAATTAGCTGGGTGGTGTGCATCTGTAATGCCAGCTACTTGGAAGGCTGAGGTAGGAGAACTGCTTGTACTCAGGAGGTGGAAGTTGCTGTCAGCTGAGAAGCCACTGCATTCCAGCCTGGGCCACAGAGGGAGACTCCATCTCAAAAAAAAAAAAAAAAAAAAAAAAAAGTGTCTGGCACAATGGCTCACACCTGTAATCCCAGCACTTTCGGAGGACAAGGCCAGTGAATCACATGAGATTGGGAGTTCAAGACCAGCCTGGCCAACATGGTGAAACCCCATCTCTACTGAAAATACAAAAAATCAGCTGGGTGTGGTAGCGGGCACCTGTAATCCCAGCTACTCAGGAGGCTGAGGTGGGAGAATCTCTTGAACCTGGAAGGTGGAGGTTATAGTGAGCCGAGATCACGTCATTGCACTCCAGCCTGGGCGACAAGAGCCAAACTTCATGTCAAAGAAAAAAGACAGAAAACAACAAAAAAGATGTATATGATGTGGGAGAAGCCATCACAGATTGGGGAGCAACTAAGAACGCCAGGAACAGGGTGTGCTTTGTGACCCAGCAAGGGCTGACAAAAGAGGAAAAGAAAACTCCACAGGAAGAAGGGGGGGAATAAGGGAAAGGGACCAGTAATTGTCAAGCAGAAGCAAATGTGGCATGACTTACTGGGAGCAGAAACATTCTGAGAAAAAAATATGTAAAAAATGCTAACAAATGGAAAATATGAAAAATGGTGTGTTAGTAGCCTTAGGGAGTGACACAGACTGAAGAGCTGTTTTGACCCTTCTTCTCTGCCCCTCCGTCAGAAGTGGGAGATGACTCATCCCCTCATTCTAATGCTCCAGTCCTATCAGGTGTGGATTCTACCCTGGCCCCAAGATTAGGAGTGGGGCCATGGTCAACCCCATGTTGGAGGCGACCAGAGGCTCCATATTGAGCTCACCATTTACTGTTCCTCCAAAAAAAAAATGAGGAAAAGACTATTTCTTAGTAAATACTAAGGCAGAATGTATTTTAATTCATGGGAATCCATAAGTAAAACCTATCAATGGTCTGCCATCAATGGTTACGGGGACAAACGATCTGGGTGAGAAGGTCTTTATTACATCTAGGTATTGGGAAAGCTCCCCCTGCCTCATATATGGTGTTTCTTTTCCGTATCCCAGAAAACATTTTATCCCAGAAAGCATGGGTGTTCTGTTAGGAAAGACTTTGCAAACTTCAGTGGAAAAATTCAGATAGAAGGTGCATGTAGTGAAGACTGTTCTTGGGAGAGAGGCGAAATGGGAGCCCAAGGAACTTCCTGCCCCTACATGGGTTGTCAACATTAAACAGTTCACACTGTCCAGGGAGCGTGCTGAAATAAGTGCAATGATTATCCTCCCAATAAGCACAACAATTTTCAGCCCAGCTCAAAGCCCATGAAAGAGTCTTGTCTTTGTTCTTGCTCCGTCTTTTCTTTCTTAGTTTTGTTATCTCATTGGCATTGTGTCAACACTGAAGTTTTCACTGTGCAACAGCAATGGCTTTTCATTTTTTTAACTTCAAGGGTTCAGGTGCAGATTTGTTACATGGGTAAACGTGTGTCATGTGGGGGTTTTTATACAGGTTATTTCATGACTCAGCTATTTAGCCTAGGACCCATTAGCTATTGTTCCTGATCTGCTCCTCCCTCCCACCCTCCACCCTCTGACAGGCCCAGTGTGTGTTTCTCCCCTCTGTGTGTCCGTGTTTTCTCATCATTTAGCTCCTATTTACAAGTGAGAACATGTGGTATTTGGTTTTCTGTTTCTACATTAGTTTGCTAAGAATAATGGCTTCTATCTCCATCCATGGGCAATTTGTTTAAGTTCCTTATAGATGCTGGATATGAGACCTTTGTCAGATGCATAGTTTGCAAAAATTGTCTCCCATTCTGTAGGTTGTCTGTTTACTTTGTTGCTAGTTTCTTTTGCTATGCAGAAGCTCTTTAATTTAGTTAGATCC